CATACTGATGCTCGGTTTGAACTGCAGGAGATTGTCTTGACCATGTCTACATGCCTAAATGCACTGAGATGCCGCCATGTGATTGGCTGATTAGAAATTAAGTGTTAACGAGCATTTGGACAGGTGTACCTAATAAAGTGGCCGGTGAGTGTATATTAGTAATAATGGCGTTAGCTTTCGAGCTAATATATGGTAATATAATAATGTTAGCTCAGAAGCTAATATCTCAGAAGCTAACACCACATATATTAATAATTTAGCCTATTGCCATATATGTTATTAGCTACCAAGCTAATCTTAGCTTGGGAGCTAACCCTACATATTAGTAATATATATAGCCTATGGTAATATACACTGATAGCTACCAAGCAAATAATCTTAGCTTGGGAGCTAACCYCACATATTAGTAATAAATWTAGYCTATGGCTATATGTGCTATGAGCTACCAAGCTAATAATCGTTGCTCGGGAGCAACACCACGTACATATTAGTGATATATATAGCCTAAGGTGATATATGCTGTTAGCTACCAAACTAATAATCTTTGGTCTGGAGCTACTGTGATAGCTCTAGAGCTAATAAGCCTAGCAGCTTGATCAGTGAGGCGAGGACTTCTTGTCTCAGATATTAACCCCCACCATCCTTGGGTCAAAATAGGCAAGACCAGGCAAATTCACAACCTGCAGATCTTCCTGGAYTCAAACTTTAGCTTCAAAGAGTGAGATCACACTAGAAAACTCACCCATTTTTAAAAAATAAAATCAGCTGTGGGACTAGAATCTGTACATGCTGCTATGTAAAACACTGTCGTCCTGCCTTTTCTATTTCATTTGAGAAAAAKAAAAAKAAAAATCACAAGTGTAAGTAAAGTCTGAGACTCTTCAGTCTGCTCCTTTCTGCTCCCCATATGGTAAATAAGACTGAACAGTTTGGATCTCGTCATCGTACTCTCGGTGCAATCTGGAAACTCGCAAACACGAACTAAACGTGGAGCCGTCCTCAACCTCCGACGTGTAAACAAACAGAAATATGTGACAGAATATGCCTGCGATTAGATCAGCTGCTTACTGTCCTGCGTGGGGGATTCCTGATATCAACACATCCAGAACCATCAGCTGATGTTTACCTTCAGTTATAAAAAAAACTACATGATCCTGTCAGAGCTGCAGGCTCTGAGCCGAAACACAAAAAATAGTATTTTCAGAAAAAACAGAGGTACAACGAAGGAGATTGTCATTCAGAAAGATCAAACAATCAAAACATGTATAAAAAAAAGACTGAAAGCAGCTGTACCTTTATTCTGTCCATGCAGGCCTCCATCTTCAGCTGCTCTACAGCTTTCCTGGCTTGGGAGATGCTGGCCGTGCTGTTGTTGGCGATGCCGTCCTTCATGGCGGTGCTCCTGTGACGAGTCAGTGAACGTTACGTTAAAACTCAAAGCAGACAGCRGGCATTGCAGTGATAACTCTGCCACAAGTAACCCATTCTCACTACATATCACATCTTTAACCGTCCACACGGACTCTAGCCCAACATCATCGCAAACAAMGGAGGCAACGTGACGCAATCCCACCCCAATCTGGAACCCACCTGTCACTYGTACTGCACACATTTCTGCAGTTAATGAAGCACGTATGTTTGGGGATCAACATTCATGTTTTTTGCTGCTCTTCGTTGATGTGTTTTCATCAACTGTGAATGAACATCTCAAACATTTAGACAACCATCAGCAGGATGGATTGAAGGCAATGCTGGACATTATTTGGGACGTTCCACCAGTTTCCGATGGGGAACCAGAAATGGGTAAGATGACCCTCTAAGTAATGGTAGGATGGAGTGTGAGATGGATCGACGCTCTTGTTGCTAGTCCTCAGCTGTCTCTATATCATCTTCAACATCCACAAGAACTCAAAGTCCACCATYGTTGCAAACAAAGGAGCTCCAAGCTGATCTGTAATGCAATCCCAACCCCATYTTGAAACCACGTCACTCGTACATCTCACATCTACTGTATGCACATTTTTGCAGCTGATGGAGCGTGTATGTTTGCGGACCAACTACTCTACCTCCATGTTTGTGTGTTTTCTTCAACAATGAACGAACACCTAAAACGTTTGGTTGACAATCAGAAGGAAGGATTGTAGTAGGGGTGCACCGATAAATCGGCCGCCCAATTTAATGGMACCAGTTTCCTTAATTTTTGGATATCAGAGATCGGCCGATACTTAGATAAGATAGGTGGAAAAGATCGGCTTCTCTACCTCCACAAAAGGTATGAAAATCAACCATTGTCCCCTTTTGCTGTGAGAACTACCTGATGTCCAGTTAAAACATTTGTATTTTTTCAAGGGTATTGTTCAATGTTTTTCCAATAAAATAAGATTGGAACATTGAAGGTGTATTGTGACATAACATCTGACACTGTCAGTTACTCAAAAAACTCTATACCGGCCAAAATCGGAATTGGTAGGTCAGATTATTTTTTTTTAAATCGGTGGTCRGACAGATAACTGCAATCRGTGCACCCCTAGATTGAAGGCAATGCTGGACATTATTTTAGGACGATGCCCCCCTAAGTGTTTGGGCATCATGTTCACAAGTGACAGTAGGATGGAGCATGAGATAAATCTGTCGTATATTTTGTGACTGATTAAATGAATTTTAGATATGGTCTTTATCTTATACTTGGTAACTGACTGAAGTTGTTTACAGTAAGAGAATCAACACGTTTCTATTTAATGTGCCTTGCTCCAGTAGTGTAAGAATAATATTTAYATTYGAATGCTGCTAAGAGGGACCACCCCCAGAGGGTGTGACCAAAGTTTTCTCTAAATGATGGGTTGAACACGTGTTCGGGATCCATTTTGTTTAGACTATGAAGCTACAGAGAGGCTTGGAGTGAAATGGAGTCTTTAGATCTGAAAATAATACATTCAACTGAGAACTTATTTGGTTTTCTGCATATTATTAGGGCTACCAATTCGAACAGATCCGTGCCCTCATCGCTCGCTACACATCCCTACAAACATCCGCAGGGACACCAAGTCTGCCATTGTTACAAACAGAAGAAGCTCCAAGCTGATTCTTGACGCAATCCCACCTCCACCTTAAACCCACCTGTCACTCATACAGCACATCTCCCTACTATGTGTCTGTCCGATCTCTTTCAGGACCCTATCCTACCATCAGCACATTATGAAGGCTAGGGCGTGATTGTTTGTCCAACATTGCTGCTCTTTTCTGCTCCATGTTGATGTGTTTTCATCAACTGTGAACGAACATCTCAAACGTTTAGACGACCATAAGAAAAGAGGATTGAAGGGGACACAGGACATTTAGGACGATCCACTCGATTTTGGTTGAGAACCTTAGAAGGGTAGAATGGCCCCCCAAATATTCAGGCATGTTCACAAGTGATGGTGGTAGAGTCAAGCCAAAAATGCAAAGCTCTGGATTTACTGGTCCACCTTTGTTCCAAACTTCACTTGTGGTCACGATGTTTAGAACGTGACTGAATGTACGCGATCCTGGGTACAAATGGCCAAAATGAGCTTCCTTTGTAGGAGATCCGTCAGCTGGGGTGAGAGCTTGGAGTAGAGGCTCCTCTGTATCAAAAGGAGTCTGTTGAGGTGGAACAAATCTTTCATCCTTCACCTTGGCCGATCTTCAGGAAGACAGGTGAGGCCAGGTACGAATGTCACCTGTCCAAATGACGAAGGGGGACACCTTCTTTAGCGTTTCTTTGAAGGATCACATTTGACGGAGTTCCCTTGGCCCTCACTACACAAATCTCACAAAGGACTCATGA